CAAGGCGGGGGGGGGGCCCCGCCGGCTTCCCCCGAGGCTTTGCAAAGCCGCATACCCGGCGTATAAGATGACCCCCAATTTTTGGGGGATGTTTTTTAACATCAAAAGTCGTCTTGTACGCCGGTATATACGGTAGGCTTCTGTTATGGTTTTGACAGTTGGAGCCCCCTTTATCAGCACCAGGTGGCCAACAGCGGGAGCCCCACTCTGTTTTCCAAATTACTGCAAATAATACAGTCCATTATTATTTTCCCACAGTTTTCCATACCTTGCCTGTAATCAACCACTATTATTTGACAGTCCATCCCACAGTTCAAGTATCGACTCAGATATTTAATTCAAATGAAATAAACTAACCTTTTTTACAGAACAATACTTGATTGTAGCTAGCTTATACTTTTTCCCAAAGTACAATAGAATGCCAACAATACTCACCAGGGATGTAAAAATGCATTTAAATAAGTAACCATGTAAGAGCTAAAATTTCAGTTGTTACTGTTATACACAGGGTGGCAGTAAAGCCCAGGCTCATCTGTTAATGGTGTACAGTTACACTTGAACATCCCTAATACTCACGCAAAGATCCAGAGTATTGTAGTTTTCCAACTGAAATGGTATCTCGTCCTTGGCTATAGCAGCACACTTTCAAAATGTCACTTTCCTGGTACCAGGACAGTTAACAGAATTGCCAAGCCTCTGCCTAAGATGTATATCTGGGGGCTGGCTCTGGACCCCCAGAAAGGGTGGGGACTTCAGGCAGAATGGGTGGAGCTGGGGCTAGTCTCTCCCAGCCAGCCCTTCAGCACTGCCTGGTCCACCTGCCCAGAGCTCCAATGGTGATTTAAAGGGCTTGGAACTTCTGCCGCTTCCACTGCCTTGGTAGCAGCAGCTGGGATTCCCAGGCCCTTTTAGATTGTTAGGCCTTGGGGCAACTGCTCCCAGCCCCCTGTTCCCTCAATGGTCCTGCTTAGTACCAAGCCCTACATCTCTATTTTTTTAAATCTGGAAGCATATTGGGGGGCTAACGGCTATCTGGTAATTTCAGAGAGACGGGAACATGGTTGACCGTAACCTTAACTTTAGCATTCCTTATTTGTGTGGTTAATTTTGTAATGTTAATGCTTTAACATAGTTTTTAAAAGTGGAATCCTGGCAATAGTGTTTATTGTCCTTTTTAATATCTATTTTGTCTTCCATTTAAGAGCCATTTCAGCTAGAAGTAGGGATATTAGATAATGTTTAATTTAGTAATCTTGTAGCTGCAAAAATGTCTGTTGGTTGCATAGTTACTAAAATACTCCCCGGGGGCAGGGCCTACTCCCAGGGAGCCCCTATTCCTACTGCCAGGGAGTCCTCTGCCACGTGCACTGCTGCCTCTGTATCAGAGGTAGCAGCGTGGGGCTGTAGCAACCCCTGTCCGTGGGGGGCCCGAGCTCCCCACTGA